TGAAGTTGTATGGTTGCTAGAAAATTAGAGCAGCAGTTTAATGAAGAATGAATTTCTAAAAGGGTCAACAATATTATTTTGCTGTTGTTTCAAATTTAGTTGTCTCCTTCTATAAATTTTGTTAGAGTAACAAAGTAACAATGACGAAAAGTGGTGAACATTTGACCTCAGATTGTCTCTAAAAAAAAATATTTATGTTGTTGTGGTGTAGATTTTTAACGGTCTTAACTTTTTTATAACTAACTAGTTTCTGAGCACGTGCTGAGCACGTGTGTTTCATGTGAATTTTTATAGATACGTTAGAATGACTAAAATTTCATGAAAATATATATATGTAAATTGTAATGAACAATAAAATGCAACAATTACAAAATAAGTATAAAGACTTACGACAATAAAACATTCATAGAAAACTAAATTAAGAAGTCTAATAGAGAAAAAAAAAAAGACAAAAAGAAACAGATTTAAGAAAAAATACAAGGTAGACATTATTCTTATAAGACTGATACATATATAGATGAAAAAATAAGTACAAAATTAGTACTTAACTCTCTGAGTTCTTATCGATTCCTTCCATATCCTATCACAATTCAAGAGTTTTCTTCATCTACTTTAACTATAGAATAAAAATAATAATAGTCTAATAAACTTGGTAGGGATTTCATGAGATAAAGAAGTTGAATTTATATAGATAGAATAGAAGGAATATCAAAAGATATCTTAAAGTGTTAGTTTAAATATTTAGAGGTTATGAATATGAAAAGATGAGAGTTATGAATATTAAGAGTATAAAAGTTGAATAAGTAATTAGAAAATAATAGTAAATAAATGAAGAATAGGAAAAAGAAAGTTAGCAAACTATGTAAAAAAAATAACTAAAGTTCCTATCACGTAATTAAGCATCAATGAATTTAAATTTGTGAAGCTAGAGTCATTCTTTAATATAATCAAGAGGACATTATCAATGTGTGTGTCTCCATTTTGCAGATTTTCACCCTTCAAATTATTAAATTTCGTTATTTATAATAAAGGATAATACTTTATCCACATAAATTATATCAAAGGAAAAAATTATGAGAAGAGGAAAAGTTTAGCAATTTAGGTATAGACTTTTTTAAATTTTTTCTCAACTTTTTTTGTTCATGCTTATAGTAATATATGATAATAATAATAATATATATATATATATATATATAATACATAAATGTGTTTTTAATTTAGCTTAAGCAAATATTTATGCCCTTCAATTTTAAATATGTATAAATCGACTCTAAAACTTATATAAATTAAACAAATAGATACATTCGTCTTAGTATGGAAGACAAATTAAAAGATATATTTATATATTATGCCTATTTTATTTAGACATCGCTTTGCAAAAGTATTTATAATAATATTTTTAATCATAAGTATACTTGTTTATATTACTTTTTATTATTTCTCTTTAATCAGTAATAATACTTTACTAATTAAATTAGAAAATTTAAAATTTAGATATAATAAAACAAATTCTTCAGACGTCAGGTATTTTAAGACAAGATTAATTTGTTAAAACTATAAATATTTGGAACCTTAAGTAGTATATGCAAATGTCTTTTAATCAAACTCAATTTCGTTATCGCTTCCTATTTACCACTATTAGTTGTATCTTGGCAAGTGGAAAAGCTCTTAAAATCTCTACCTTTGGAGCTAATACTATTTTCCTAGAACAACATCTTGAGTCACTGTTCGTGGAGCTAATACTAGTGTGTCTCTTTCGCTTCTTCTTCTGCACTTTTCTCCCATAATCAAGACTCTTTCTATTTGACCGTTTTCTTTTCTTTACAGGGGGTGAACCCTCACTGACATCTCGGCTTGAAGATTTTCTCCAAGTTCTTTTCTTCACGTGTTTTATATCACGTGAGTGCCTACGTTTTTTCATACTATAATCAACCTCTGAATCGGAGGACAAAGACTGTGGACTGCTAGAATAATCAGAGGAAGCAGAAGATGACGAGTCATCCTCAGAACTGGATAACTTCTTGGATTTGTTTCTTCTGCTTTTTCTCTTCCGTATCTAACCACACAACACATGAAGATGTATAATGAAGGATAATAAATTGGAATTCATAAGAAAACAGGAGGTAACCTTACATTGTTCTACAGAAAGCATGCCTAATATTAATTAAAAATATAATGCAATAAATAGTGTACAAAGTGTGCTGGCATGATCAAGCATTATAAAGTCTTCCACAATTCTTTCTTCTGAGTGTCAGTTAACGAATTACAAATTGAAACAAAAGAGAATGTATTTAATACAAGATCTTAGATATCCTTTTTTCCATGGTGGCTTCTAAAAGATACCAAGTATTAACAGGTGCAGATAATTGTTTTTTTGGATAAATAACTCTAGATTTGCTCCACTAAGTTTATTTTGCGGATAGAGCAGAAAACAAAAAAAATACAAAGAACAATAAACGATTCATGGAACTCTAACTATAACAATTCAAATGACTATGCAATGTGACTTAACACTCCCACGAGCGATCATGAGCTATACCACATGAAGCCTTACCATATTACAGATTTGTATATGAATATTTACATGAAAAATAATCCCTTCTAAACAAACTGGAAGGAGTAGGACTTATATTCTCCCAGTTCAGTTATGTCAACTCATATAAGTATTGTACCCAAAATAACCAGCCTTTTGAACTACTTTTTGACCCTTGTTCTTGGAAAACAGTTTCATTTTAATTTTTAGCTAAAAGAACAGCTAGCTTAATTTTTATCCCCCAAAAATCATCCCCTAATGATACACACATGAAAAGACCCAAAAGTTAAACCAGCTAATTACATATGTTGCTTGGACTTAGGTTCAACAGAGGGTACAGATAGCTTATGTTGTTCAGACTCCTTAAAAATGTTGTCGTGTGTGTCGTATCCCCCAAAAGTAGTGCATTATGGGAAGATCCAACACAGATTCAACAACATTTTTGGAGAGTCCGAGCAACATAGCAGATTACTAACCATTATTTTTAATTCTCTTCCATATTTCCACCACCAGTAGAAAGGGAACTATTAGCATCACTACAAAAGGAAAACATTTACAAATATTCCATAACATGACAAAAATTAATTCAGTAAACAGGAAAAAACATAAAGCCCTTAAAAATCAAATTAAAGGAGAATTCTCATAATTCAATAACCTTTTAAGATTATTGAAAATAAAAACCGTGATTTTATTTGATACAAAACAAAGTTCAATAAATTCTACATAAACCCTAAAATACATAACTATACACAGAAATTCATAACGAAATAGAAAGAGATCAACACAGCATACAGGAACATTATACATAATACTGAGAAAGCGAAACGAATGTTATTAGGTAAATGAATGGAAAACATCGAAATGGAGAGCTAAAAAAGATACCTTAGAGGAAACTTTGAGCCTCTTCTTTTTGGAAGATGTTTTCTTAGATGAAGACTTCCGTTCTCCCATTGTGTTCGGATTCATTTCTTCTTCTTCTTTGTAAACAAAATTGGAATAGCGAAAAGCAAACCGCAGATGAACGAATCGATAATTGTGAATTCGGATCCGGCAACACACTCAAACCCATAGATATATTGTATCCATTATCATAGCAAGCTGCACCTGCTTGCTTATCTCTAACTTGTATTTTACCGTAATATGTATGTACTTATTACTTCTCAATACCCCCTAAACTCGATCATATTGTTTCAACAACCTTAAAAATATCTTTACTTTAGTAATACATGTAAATACGCTCTCCAGTCTTGTAACATGAGTGAGATTAATTCTAAATTTTCACCAAATTTAGAGTGTTTTTCAACACTTCTCTGTTCTTTTATAAAGGGTCTTATGCTCGCCACAAAAAATTGAGATCATATTTTATGTTGTATAAATTCTTTTATAAAGAGTCTCATGTTGAAAAATTTATTTTGAGCAAGATACCACCAATAAAATTTGTGTGAGGATCTATTAACAAGTTGACATGTGGATTGTGGGGGTATAGATTGTCCTTTAAAATTGCAATTAAAACCAGAGAGGAGAGAGAGGGTATAGTTTAATTGAAAATTGAAAGAAAATTATGGGGTCCATATCAAATACAATTAAATAAACTAATGTATTGAAAGTGGAAAAATACATATTTAACTTGTGTGAAGAGGTGTCAATGCTTATATATGTATTTCTTGAGTCTCATTTTATATGTTACATTTTTACTTTGCACTTGCATTAAGAAATAATGTAACTTTATCCTTCTACTCTTATTTAATTTTTTTTGGAACTCATGTTTTCAATCAATGAATATAAATTAATTTATTTTGATTAATTAATTTAACTATTGAACATGAATCATTTACTTAGCTTTTCTAAGTTGGTCAAATGTATATTTTCAAGGCTAATTAACTCACAAGGGTTAAAAAGGAACAATATGGTAATTTATGCATTAATTTTATGAAATGACAAGTATTATGAACCAACTATTTCTAAAAAGTGATGACATATAAAATGGGACGGAGGGAGTATTTACTAAACCAAAATTTAAACTTTGAATGTATTTTGAAAAGTTTCAATGATATCTTGTCATTTTGATCTAAACAATAAATAACTCTATGATAGTATTAATCATTTATAATCACTTGTCCTATATTCTTTAAATTATAATTATTTCCTAAAAAGCTTTAATTTAGTAATATTAATTCTATTTTACAATATACAGTATATGATATGATACACTACACACGTACACCGCACATGCCGTGAAGCTAGTATATATAGTTTACATCCTTCTTGAGATACGACACTTGCTACACCAAACTCAATCGAGTGATTGGGTGAGATTTGATCCCTATTTGAATATATATATTTGATTTTTTTTCTTAAAGCATAAGCAATTACATTCCTAAATAAACCATCACAAATAATAGAGAAAGCATAACAAACCATGCTGAGCAGAATAATATAATGAAGCACAAAAAACATGCAAGACCACTAAAGCATTAACTTAAGTCGAGCATATATTGATTAAAAAACACTTCGGCAGCAACTTAGTTTCTACATCCACAAACTTGAGAGAGATTTTCAGACAAGATACAACTATTCTTTTGCTAAGTCTACAAGATACAAGTATCTGCAAATCGGTGCACTAAGCTCCCACTATTTACATTGTATCTTCATCATCACTTGTGCTTGAACGAGTATCAATGTAGAATTCAGAATCATCTTCATCATCAATGATCCTGACTCTGTTCAACACACATTATCAACATAGAAATGTTATATTAGGAACACTTAAAATGAGCATATTGTTGTTTTCCGATAAAATGTAATGCGAATTTTTTTTTTACTATAAAAAGATAAAGAGGGGGAGAGAGAAATAAAACCTTTCAAGGACAAATTTCCCTTCTTTGTACTTCTGGCTTTCCTCATGGGATTTCTCCTGTGTAAACGAGACACAAATATTAGTCGTTAATAGAACTACGCATGTTACATATACTGTGTTAGTTTAACTTATATACACCGATTCATATCCCCCAAAAGACAATAAAAGGAACTTTTTGTGTGTGTGTGTGTGTTCCCATAGTTGTATTTTTTGGCTCTACGTGTTGGTGCGTATGGAAAAAGAAGAGGGGATGAGAGGAATTACATATTTCCAGCCAAGAATCTGCCCACAGCGACGACAAAATATATCCGTCACAGTGTGCGTTCCAGAAAGCAACGTCCTCTCCTCGGTCTGTCCAAAATATATATTTACCCTAAATAACACAAAGAAAGAAAGGTGAAAAATTCCATCTAATGAATTGGAAAAGAAACATAATCTGATCAGGCCGAGGAAGGATAAAAGAACAGAAAATGGAGCTAAAAACACACATCTCTTGCACAAATCAAGAAAGCCAAGTAAAGAAGACCACTGAACTAGATTGTGCTCCTGGTAAGAGATCACCACTTAACAACCATGACATAAACTAATCCATTCAACCCCTAATTAAAAAACAAGCTTCCGCAGTAAGATGATTCAGCATAGCTTCCTGTCAGAAAATAAGCTTTAAACATAGCAACATCTTTAAAAAAGGAAAGTGGTCTTCTACCAACTACAGCCGCTCAGAAAACTCCAGTCTACACCAAGCAACCATGCAAAAGTACAGATTCCATCCAGCCTGCAGCATTGTCTTCTGTTTTGACTTGCTAGGTCGATAACTCACTAATGAAACTATGAAAATTTGAATTATAGTTACTGATGACAACATACAATCTGGGCAGCCAGGCTAATCCAGGGAAACCAAAATCTTGAAAGTAGATGGGCAAGAAGAATTCAAGCATACATACATATGTATGTACGTACACGTACCTCGGACAATTGAGCAAACTCTATATCCAAATGTGGCCTAAGTCAAACAGTTATGCTCAAATGCACATAATATCTAGCTGATGCTGATGTTGAGCAAGCCATTGGAACTTGCAATTAACAACAACTACTTACCCAATGTAATCCAATAGGCGGGGTCTGGGGAGGGTAGAGTGTGCCCAAACCATACGCCTACCTTTGGAGGTAGAGAGGTTGTTTCCTATAGACCCTCGGCTCAAGGATAAACATATCAAAGAAGATTGAAAAAGAAATAACGGAAGAAAAGAAATCATGGCAAAATACTATAGAAAGCATGACAAAGTATTTTGAATCAAATGTGAGAAGTTCCTACATGCCTCAGCCCTCAAGTGCATTTCTTTGCAATAGCCATTTATATCTATAACCCCCCCACCCCCCGAAATTTAAAGGAATAATAATAAGAACAAAGAAGGGTTGCTACTTGTCTTTTTGGTGGCTTGTACTTTTTGTACCATCTTGGTACTATTATTAATAAAACCTCTACCATTTCAAAAAAAAAATGTCCGGACAGGCAATATCATTCATTCCACAAATACTTGGTCACAAATGGCATTCTGTTGAATAAAAATGACCGTATTGCCTATAATTCACTGAAAATAGACGCAACAGGTTGTTAATGGTGATGTAACACTTAACCAATTAGGAGAAACGCCTATCAACTGCGTCCGAATGATGTGCCAAACATATTAAACAGCACTTTCTCCCGACAACAGATACAGTATCGTACAACCCCCAAAAAGAAAGCACCAGTTGTCACTCACGAATGGATGCAGGTTTATCAACAAATTAAATCACTTGTAAAACAAAAATCCAGATTCATGAAATAGCAATGTATACTATCAATATGACGTTAGAGGCCACTCACACTTTATTGAACAGGTATGCTCTTCCACTGCTGCAATGAAAAGCCTGAATAAATAGCATAAAGGAGATTTTGTCAGACATAGTTAACCATTGCAAAATGAAATGCAATTTATGCAGCAAAGACGAAACACAATTTTCTCATGCAATATACCACGACAAAGAAAGTAAACTGACAGTTCATACACAATGAGATAAAAGAAACTTCTTCAGTTCCAATTAATTTTACTTGCTTCAAGAATTCCAACTTACATCACCTAATGGTGCTAGACAATTCTTATGCATATATTTTACTTACGAGTGAAAAAAGGAGTTGCTTTTAACCAGGGGAGGATCTACTAAGGGCCGAGGGGGTGCCAAAGTGCCACTCATTGAATAAAATAATACATGATGCCACTGGCAAAACTCCGGACATTCCTTCTAGGTTGCGTGAGTTCGATTCCAGCCCTCTACAGTACTTTAACTATTTTGTTTGCTTCACTGGGCAATTAAGGAGTTAGGCATTTCACCTATTCTCCTCTTTTTTCCTAGTAGTGATTCTTTTAGACTTTATTGTTTAATTTAACCTTGTTTGATTTTTTAAATTATTTTTGTTGCCTTCTTTCTATCCCCAAAATCTTTTCTTTCCTCTAAAAGAGAAGACAACCTTCCCTGTTTAAATAGCAAGATGTCTATGTTCAAAGCAATGTTGCACCACAAACCTCCAAATCCCAAATGCAACTTTGCTTTTAGCACACGCAACGAAGAAGAATCTACAATTGAGTTCTTATTTAAAAGAACGTGTTTAATGAGTCCCACGCTTAAACAAAGAGGAGGGTTAATGTATGCTTGGCAACCAACATAAAACTTGTCAGATTCATGAACTTTTTCACCGAAACTAAACAATTTGTATTATTGCATCAAAAACTACGAAATTCAAATGTACCCTTAGCATCATGCACGATCCAACTTGGGAAAAACCTCTCCCAAGAGATCTCCTTCAACAAAGAAATAGAAAATCTAGCTAAACTATGAACTATTTTGTTCAAACATCTATGAATATACATAAAATCGACATGATCCAACATGCTTGAGAGCTTCCAAACGTCTTCACACGTCACTGCTATCTCTCGTGAAGTAGTCAATCATTTCTGGATCTTATCAACAACATTTTTTTAGAGACAAATAAAATCTGCACACTCTTCCATCCCTAACTCAATAAACCATTTTCCTAATGGTCAATTCAAATTCATGATGAGGATTGACGAATTCGTAAAATTTGAAACTTCTGAATTAACAAGTGCATTGCATTTGCACTAAACAACACAAAAATTACTTATTTACTACCTATAAAAAAGGTGAGATTTTTACTTGTACCGAGAAGTGATATATAACCATGTCAAATGAAAGATCAGGATTTTACATAGCTAGATCTAGTCATTCAACCAAAGAATAAAAAATAAAAATAAGGGGAAAAAATTGTACCTTGGAAATAAGTTGATCAGCACGGGCAAGTTGGGTTTTGCAGAATTTGCAATTGTAGGTTTTGCCTTCAAGATCCACCAAAAATACTCTCCCCATTTTTCACTTCACACAAACTGCAGCTCAGCCCCAATTTCCCAAAACTGAAACCCTTCTTAAAGAAAAGATGAAAAGAACAAGGTTTATTGAGGGGTCTTAAGAAATTCCAGAAACAACAAAGTAGAAAACGACTTATTATTACATGTGGCGCAGATTTTGTTTTGTTAACTTCAAAGTCACTTAATCCTATCTTTTAGTGCTGTTTAAATGTATAAAAACGAGCTATCAATATTTTATTGCATAATACATAAACGTGCTTTTAATTTAGCTTAAGCAAATAGTTATGCCCTTCAATTTTAAATATGTACAAATAGACTCTTAAACTTATATAAATTAAACAAATAGATACATTCGTCTTAGTATGGAAGACAAATTAAAAGATATATTTATATATTATGCCTATTTTATTTGGACATCGCTTTGCAAAAGTATTTATAGTAATATTTTTAATCATAAGTATACTTGTTTATATTACTTTTTATTTATTTACTCTTTAATCAGTAATAATACTTACTAATTAAATTAGAAAATTTAAAACCTAGATATAATAAAAAAAAATCTTCAGATGTCAGGTATTTTAAGACAAGATTAATTTGTTAAAACTATAAATATTTGGAACCTTAAGTAGTATATGCAAATGTATTTTAATTAAACTCAATTTTGTTATCGCTTCCTATTTACCACTATTAGTTGCATCTTGGCAAGTGGAAAAGCTCTTAGAATCTCTACCTCTGGAGCTAATACTATTTTAACGTCGGCAACTAGAACAACTTCTTGAGTCACTGTTCGTGGAGCTAATACTAGCGTGTCTCTTTCGCTTCTTCTGCACTTTTCTCCCATAATCAAGACTCTTTCTATTTGACCGTTTTCTTTTCTTTACAGGGGGTGAACTATCACTGACATCTCGGCTTGAATATCTTCTCCAAGTTCTTTTCTTCACGCGTTTCATATCACGTGAGTGCCTATGTTTTTTCATACTATAATCAACCTCTGAATCAGAGGACAAAGACTGTGGACTGCTAGAATAATCAGAGGAAGCAGAAGATGACGAGTCATCCTCGGAACTGGAAAACTTCTTGGATTTGTTTCTTCTGCTTTTTATCTTGCGTATCTAACCACACAACACATGAAGATGTATAATGAAGGATGATAAATTGGAATTGCCAGTGACAAGATGAGAATGTATTGATAAGAAAACAGGAGGTAACCTTACATTGTTCTACGAAAGCATGCCTAATGTTAATTAAAAATATAATGCAATTTCTCATGAAAACATCTCCATGAATATTTGGGTATTAAATATATTCAATAAAGAGTGTACAAAGTGTGCTGGCATGATCAAGCATTATAAAGTCTTTCATAATTCTTTCTTCTGAGTGTCAGTTAAGGAATTACAAATTGAAACAAAAAAGAATATATTTAATACAAGATCTTAGATATCTGTTTTTCCATGGTGGCTTCTAAAAGATACCAAGTATTAACAGGTGCAGATAATTGTTTCTTTTGATAAATAACTCTAGATTTGCTCCACTAAGGTTATTTTACGGATAGAGCAGAAAACAAAAAAAATACAAAGAACAATAAATGATTCATGGAACTCTAACTATAGCGATTCAAATGACTATGCAACGTGCTTAACACTCCCACGAGCGATCATGAGCTATATCACATGAAGCCTTATCATGTTACAGATTTGTATATGAATATTTACATGAAAATAATCCCTTCTAAACAAACTGGAAGGAGTAGGACTTATATTCTCCCAGTTCAGTAATGTCAACTCATACAAGTATTGTACCCAAAATAACCAGCCTTCTGAATTACTTTTTGACCCTTGTTCTTGGAACATAGTTTCATTTTAATTTTTAGCTAATAGAACGGCTATCTTAATTTTTATCCCCAAAATAACATCCCCTGATGGCACACATGAAAAGACCCAAAAGTTAAACCAGCTAATTACATATGTTGCTTGGACTTATGTTCAACAGAGGGTACATATAACTTATGTTGTTCGGACTCTTCAAAAATGTCGCCGGGTATGTGTTCTATCCTCCAAAAGTAGTGCATTTTAGGAGGATCCAACACGGGTGTAACTAACATTTTTGGAACATAGCAGATAACTAACCATTAGTTTTAACTATCTTCCCTATTTCCACCACCAGTAAAAAGGGAACTATTAGCATCACTACAAAAGGACATTAACAAATATTCCATAACATCACAAAAATTAATTCAGTAAACAGAAAAAACATAAGCCCTTAAAAAGCAAATTAAAGGAGATTAGAAATAAAAACCTTAAGTTGAGTGATTTTATTTGATACAAAACAAAGTTCAATAACTTTAGTTTAAGATGAAGATAAACCCTAAAATACATAACTACACACAATAATTCAAAACGAAATAGAAAGAAAGCAACACACCATACAGGAACATTATACATTATACTGAGCAAGCGAACGAATGTTATTATGCGAATAAATGGAAAGCATCGAAAAGGAGAGTTGAAAAAGATACCTTTAGAGGAAACTTTGAGCCTCTTCTTTCTGGAAGATTTTTTCTTAGATGAAGACTTGCGTTCTCCCATTGTGTTCGGATTTACTTCTTCTTCTTCTTCTTCGTTAACAAAATTGGAATAGCAAAAAGCAAACCGCAGATAAACGAATCGCTAATTGCAATCAATATTGGAAAATCTGCATATTGTAAATTCGGATTTGGAAGAAGGAAAGGAGGTTCGTTTGGTTTGGTGAAAGGATCTGGATGGTGCCCAACACACTCAACCCCATAGTAGATATATAGTATCCATTATCTTAGCAAACTGTGCTTATTTGTTTCAGAACTATTCACAACCTTCAAAAAAAAATTGCCAAGTTATGTTTTCAACTTCTCTTGGTTCTTTTGTTAAGACTTTCATGCTTGTGATAGACTTTGAAAGATATCCTTTACTTCAGTTAATCAACACATGAGTGAAATACACTCTTAAATTCTCGTCAAGTTTAGAATGTTTTTAACACTTCTCTCAATTTTTTTTATTAAGAGTCTCATGTTTGCACAAGAGTTTGAGACCATTTGATATGTCATGTTGTATATTAAGGGTGTATCTACATTTAGTTTGTCAATTAGATTGTGTTTTTAAAATTGTCAATAGTTAGGAAATGAAACTAATAATTTACGTCCATTTTAAAATAGAACTCTTATATATATCGCAAATTGCAAATCATATAGAGTCATAGAGATATAAACTATGAACGTTAAGCAAGTCTATTCAATGAATTTGATCGAAAGAAAAGACCAAGTAGCATCCTTTTTAGATTCTACAGTCGCTATACCAACCTCAATCGAGTGATCGGGTCAAGTCTATTCAATGAATTTAATCGCAAGGAAAGACCAAGTAGCATCCTTTTTAGATTCTACAGTCGCTATACCAACCTCAATCGAGTGATCGGGTCAAGTCTATTCAATGAATTTAATCGCAAGGAAAGACCAAGTAGCATCCTTTTTAGATTCCACACTCGCTATACCAACCTCAATCGAGTGATCGGATGGAATTTGATCCCTATGTAAATCTATATATTAGTTTACGGCCTTCCTTTTAGATACCACACTCCCTGCACCAAACTCAATCGAGTGATTGGGTGAAATTATATATTTAGCTTACATCCTTTTTGAGATACTACACTCGCCACACCAAACTCGATCATCGGGTGGAATTTGATCCCTATTTGAGAATATACATACTTAGTTTTTTTCTTAAAGCGTAAGCAAGCACATACCTAAATAAACATAACAAACCATGCTGAGCAGACTAATATAATGAAGGAAGCACAAAAAACATGTAAGACCAATAAAACATTTACTTTAGTCAACCATATTAAATAAAAAACACTTCTGCAGCAACTTAGTTTCTATATCCACAAACTTGAGGAGATCTCCAGATAAGATACAACTATTCTTTTGCCAAGTCTACAAGATACAAGTATCTGCAAATCGGTGCACTAAGCTCCCACTATTTACATTGTATCTTCACCATCACTTGTGCTTGCACGAGTATCGATGTAGAATTCAGAATCAACTTCGCCATCAATGATCATGCCTCTGTTCCACACATATTATCAACAGCATAGAAATGTTATGTTACAAACACTTAAAACGAGCATATTGTTTTTTACGATAAAATGTTAATGCGAATTAACGCAACTTTTGTTTTACTATAAAAAGATAAAAGGGGGAGAGGGTAATAAACCTTTCAAGGACAAATTTCCCTTCTTTGTACTTCTGGCTTTTCTCATGGGCTTTCTCCTGTGTGAATGAGACACAAATATTAGTCATTAATAGAACTACGCGTGTTACATATACCGTGAGAATTTAGCTTATATACACCGATTCATATCCCTCAAAAGATAATAGAAGGAACTTTTTGTGTGTGTTCCCATGGTTGTACGTTTTGGCTCTACGTGTTGGTGCCTATGGACAAAGAAGAAGGAATAAGAGGGATTACATATTTCCAGCCAAGAATCTGCCCACAGCAACAACAAAATATATCTGTCACAGTGTGCGTTCCAGAAAGCATTGTCCTCTCCTCGCTCTGTCCAAAAGTTACATTTACCCTGAATAACACAGAGAAAGAAAGGTGAAAAATTCCATCATATGAATTGGAAAAGAAACATAGTATGATCAGGCCGGGAAAGGATAAAAGAACCGAAAATGGAGCTAACAACACGCATCTCTTGCAAAATCAAGAAAGCCAAGTAAAGAAGACCACTGAACTATATGTTTTTTTTAATGTGAAATTTGAGAATTTGAAGTTCACAAAATAAACTGTGCCCCTGGTAAGAGATCACCACTTCCCAACCATGACATAAACTAATTCGTTCAACCCCGAATTAAATAACCAACTTCCTCTGTAAGACGATTCAGCTTACCTTCCTGTCAGAAATAAGCTTTAAACATAGCAACGTCTTTAAAAAAGCAAATTGGTCTTCTACCAACTACAGCCGCTCAGAAAACTGAGTCTACAATAGAAGTACAGATTCCATCCAGCATGCAGCATTGTCTTCCATTTTTAACTTGCTAGGTTGATATCTCATTAATGAAACTATGAAACTTGAATTATAGTTGCTGATGACAACATACCATCTGGACAGCCAGGCTAATCCAGGGAAACCGAAGTCTTGAAAGTAGATGGCAAGAAGAACGCAAGCATACATACGTATGTATGTACAGTACATACATTGGGCAACTGAGCAAACCCTATATCCAAATGTGGCCTAAGTCAAATAGTCATGCTCAAATGCACAAAATAACTAGCTGATGCTGATGATGAGCGAGCCATTGGAACTTGCAACCAACAACAACAACTACATAGCCAGTGTAATCCCACAAGCGGGGTTTGGGGAGGGTAGTGTACCCAAACAATACGCCTACCTTGGGAGGTAGAGAGGTTGTTTCCTATCGACCCTCGGCTCAAGGAAAAAACATATCAAAGCAGATTGAAAAAGAATTAATGGAAGTAAAGAAATCATGGCAAAATACTATAGAAAGCATGACAAAGCATTTTGAATCAAATTAAATGCGAGAAGTTCCTATATGTCCAAACAGGGAATATCATACATTTCACAACTACTTGGTCTCAAATGACAGTCTGTTGAATAAAAATGACGGTATCGCCTAAAACTCACTGAAAATAGACGCAACAGGTTATCAATGGTAACATGACACTTTACCAATTAAGAGAAACACCTATCCACTGCGTCCGAATGATGCGCCAAACATATTAAACAACACATTCTCCCGACAACAGATACAGTAACGTACAAGCCCCAAAAAGAAAGCACCAGTTGTTACTCATGAATGGATGCAGGTTTACTGACAAATTAAATCACTTGTAAAACAAAAGTACTGATTCATGAAATAGCAATGTATACTATCAATCTGATGTTGAGAATAATTAGAGGCCACTCACACATTATTGAACAGGTATGCTTTTCCACTGCGGCAATGAAAAGCCTGAATAAATAGCATAAAGGAGATCTCGTCAGACATAGTTAAACATTGCAAACTGAATTGCAATTTATGCAACAAAAACGAAACACAATTTTCTCATGCAATAAACCACGACAAAGCAAGTAAACTAACAGTTCATACACAATGAGATAAAAGAAACTTCTTAAGTTCCAATTAAAGTTTCAATTAATTTTACTTGCTTCGAGAATTCCAACTTACGTCACCTATTGGTGCTAGACAATTCTTATGCATATATTTTACTTATGAGTGAAAAAAGGAAATGCTTTTAACCAGGGGAGGATCTACTAAGGGCCGAAGGGGGTGCCACGTCACCCACAAGGCTCACCCGAGACTCGGTATATATAAGTATATATATATATATATAGAAACACAAGAGGAGGGTCAATGTATGCTTAGCAGCCAACATAAAACTTGTCAGATTCATGAAATTTTTTCACCGGAACTGAACACTTTGTATTACTGCATCAACAACTACAGAATTCAAATGTATCCTTAGCATCACGTATGATCCAGCTTGGGAAAAACTTCTCCCAAGAGATCTCCTTTAACAAAGAAATAGAAAATATAGCTAAACTATAAACTATTTTGTTCAAACATCTATGTATATACATAAAATCAACATGATCCAACATGCTTGAGAGCTTCCAAACGTCTTCACACGTCACTTCTATCTCCCATGAAGTAGTCACTCATTTCTGGATCATATCAACAACAAATTTTTAATAGTCAAATAAAATCTCCACACTCTTCCATCCTTAACTTGAATCACCCATTTTCCTAATGGTTAATTCAGATTCATGATGAATCCTCAATCCTCATAATACTTGGAAGAACATTTGAAACTTCAGAATTAACCAGAAACATGTTACAATTGTACTAAACAACATAAAAATTACTCATTTACTAGCTATAAAAGCTAATTTCAAAAACAAAACAAAAAAAATCTACAAAAGCTGAGATTTTTACTTGTACCCAACAGTGATATATAACCATATATCAATGAAAGATCAGAATTCCATAGCTATATCTAGTAATTCAACCACAAAAAAAAGAACCAAAAAATAAAATTAAAAAAGGGAAAAAATTGTACCTTTGAAACAAGATCATCAGCCTGACCAAGTTGGGTTTTGCAGAATTTGCAATTGTAAGTTTTGCCTTCAAGATCCACCAAAAATAGTCTCCCCATTTTTCACTTCACACAAACTACAGCTCAGCCCCAATTTCCCAAAACTGAAACCCTTTCTAAAGAAAAGATGAAAAGAACAAGGTTTATTGAGGGGTTTTAAGGTTTTAGAATTAAGCCCACAGAAGTGAAGTGTCAAATTCCAGAAATAACAAAGTAGAAAACGACTTATTATTACATGTGGCGCAGATTTTGTTTTGTTAACATCAAAGCCACCTAATCATGTGCTGTTTAAATGTATAAAAAAGAGCTATCAATATTTTATTGGATTAGT